ACGGAAAAACAAACAAACAAAAGAATCAGTTTTACGGATGTCCATTTAAATATGAAATAAAATGTAAGAAACTGGAAAACACATTTTCTTTTTGGGTTTTGTAGCGTTCCGATTTTTAAAATAATTTTCCATTTTAAACCAAAACCGGAAAAATGGACCCAAATTTTTTAAATTTGCAACTGACAACAAAACGACCATTTCATTTAATTTTAAACCCAAAACAGAAACGTTTTAAGTTTTAAGCAACCACGTGGTAATTACATGTCTTCCAAATGTTTTTACGATTTTTAATTTTCTCCATTTTAAACCAAAACAGTAAAAAAGGGCCTGTTTTCTTGTTGTTTTCTTGTTGTTTTCTTGTTGTTTTTTTGTTTGTTTTTGGTATTTTTGGGGGGAAAATTGACCATCCTTCAGCACCCAGACCTCTCTGGCTCATAAAAATTGTCTAATTTGAGCAGGTTTTCAGGTTAAAGCAGATGAAATATTGGGTTTAGTGGACCAGAACTTTGCTAACACCTTTCCCACCACATCAGAAGTAGCTCAGCATCGGTTCCCTCACGGCTTGTCGAAATAATAAATTCAGATTCAAGTGAAACGAGCTGATTGACTTTCCCTGCGTTAGCGCTACCTGTCGAAGCGATTAGCATGTGGGTCGTGTTTGCCGAGCTTTATTAAAACGTCGGCGCTCATCGCGTATTCCGTTTGACTCGACGCTTTTGATGCCCGAGATCAACGGCGACATCAATGGAGGGAGTCGAGCGTCAGCAGCCGGTGACCTGAGCCGGGAACAGATAACGGACTCCCCTTTAGATCCACCTTTCATCTGAACCATCGTGTGCTTCATTGACCCGCTGCCTCGTCCAGCGCCGGGTTGAAGCTGACCAGCAGACTAATTAGCAGGTTAGCTTAGCGGGTGGATATAATATATGATATGTTTCAAACAGAGCGTCGTAACGTTTACGGCAGCTCTGCTACTCACACGTACTTCAGCAGAACTGCCTGGACTTCCATCCCTGAGGAGTTCCGTCTGCAGGTGGGAGCCAGCGGATCTAAAAAA